CCAACGTACGTGTGTGTGATTCGGTCCAGTGACCGGCATGGCTCAGGAATATCCGGTTATCACAAGTGGCGACGAGGTCGACTGACGAACCGGACGGGCACAGCACAATCACGCGTCGTCATGCCTGTCGTCGGGAAGCTGGATCCGTTCGACCCGAGTACATCGGAGTGGGCGGAATACCGTGAGCGGGCCGAGCTGTACTTTATCGCGAATGACATCCCGAGCGACAAGCAGACAGCCGTATTTTTGACATGCTGCGGTCCAGAGACTTATTCTCTGCTACGAGGCCCCCTAGCACCAAGCAGGCCCGCCCAAGCAGGACTGACCGAAAATTTTACCACACTGGCAAGCATACGCCCCTCGCGTATCAGAAGTAGTGGAAAGTTTCAAGTTTTTCTCAAGACATCGAAAAGAGGGGGAGACTGCAAGTGACTACATTGCCTCGTTGAAGAAATTAGCTGAAGACTGTAATTTCGCAACACTTCGAGAGCGCATGTTGCGCGACCAGATAGTCAGCGGAATCAATGACGTGACCATGCAAACACGGCTGCTGGAAACGACGTGTTTAACCTTCTTTTTTTATTGTTATGATATATAAGGAGATGTTGGCGCACCATTATGGCACAAACTGCAAAGCACACCGTCGTAGCTATGGAGGCTGCGCGTAAAGATTCACGCACATTGAGCTGTAAACAAGCACAGCTACTATCTCACGAAGCTCCGGAGCAAGCGAACGTTGTCACCTCGGGGAAAAATGATAGCTGTTGCTTCCGTTGCGGGGGAGGTCATTCTGCGCGTCGTTGTAAGCACGGCAGCACGATCTGTCACAACTGCCGCCAAAAAGGGCACCTTGCAAGAGTTTGCAGAGTTCAGCCGGGAAGTAGAAATTTCGACCAGCCAGTCTAGTCGCGTGAACAACCTGGGCGACCTGCCCGTCTCTGCTGAAGAGCCCGAAGTTTTCGACTTGTGGACGCTTCACACGGCTAGTTCGGAGCCAATGCGCATAGCGGTTGAAGTTAATGGCATAATGCTCGATATGGAGTTGGACACCGGCGCTAGTGTGTCTACCATTGATGATGGCAAGTTCGCCGAGCTTTTTTCCATCGGTGCCGCGTGAGCCATCGAGTGTGCAGCTGAGGAGTTTTTTTCGGCGACATGAAACGCGTCCAGGGAAAGCTGGAAGCAATGGTCAAACTTGGCGACAAGGAGCGCCAGCAGCACTATTTGTCGTGAAAAGGGCGTGTCCTACGCTGTTTGGACGAAGCTGGATGAAGGCCTTCAAGCTAGGCATCGCTTAGACGGAGGGAGTCAACGTCGTGAAGTCTACGGAAGACCTGGTAAGCCAATATCACGAAGTTTTTTCGGAGCAGCTTGGAACGTTTTACGGCGTTACAGCATCTATATCCGTACAATAGGGGGCGAAGCCACGTTTTATCAAGGCACGTCCGATACCATTTGCTTCGAGCGGTAGGGTTATTGAAGAACTACAGAGGATGGAACGGGAAGGCGTTATCAAACCGGTGAAAACTTCTCAGTAGGGCCGCGGCCGTCATTCCTGTGTTGAAGCGCGACGGCTGGGTTCGGGTCTGCGGCAATTTTAGGACTACCATAAACCCAGTGACAGTCGTCGAGTCCTACCCTATTCCTAGGATTGAGGAACTTTTTGCGCGACTTACAGAGGGAAAGAAGTTCACAAAGCTTGACTTGCAAGATGCCTACCAGCAGGTTCCACTCGATGAGGAGTGCCAAGAGCTAGTCACCATTAACACTCCGAAGGGGTTATACCTATTCACAAGGCTGCCGTTCGGGGCTTTCATCAGCTCCGGCTATATTTCAGCGACAGATGGAAAATCTGTTGCACGACCTTGACCATGTCATAGTGTACTTTGATGATATTCTGGTCACAGGAACAAGTGACAAAGAGCATTGGGAAAATTTGGGCCGAGTGTTGGATCGCCTGAAGACCGCGGAACTGCGACTGAAGTTATCTAAATCCGAATTCATGAAACCAGAAGTCCAGTACTAGGGCCATATCATTAGTGCGGCTGGACTGCGTCCAAACCCGGCTAAGACTGAAGCAGTGCTGGAAGCCCCTGCACCCCGAGCGGTCAAGGAACTTCAGAGTTACCTCGGGTTGGTTAATTTTTACAGAAGGTTTTTGCCGAACCTTTTTGCCGTATTACAGCCGCTCAATAGTTTGTTGGCGTCGGGAACACCATGGCGCTAGGAAACTGATGAAAAGCAGGCGTTTTGGAGAAGCAAGGAGCTATTGGCCTTTGCTGCTATATTGGCACACTTCGACCCAGAAAACCCAACTGTGCTTGTCACTGATGCATCTCCCTTCGGGATTGGAGCAGTACTGGCGCAACGAGAGTCATCTGGAGAAGAGCGCCCCATTGGTTTTGCCTCCCGCAGCCTGGCAACCGCGGAGAAAAACTACAGCCAATTAGATTAGGAGGCATTGAGCCTTGTATTTGGCGTTACAAAGTTCAGTCAGTACTTATGGGGCCAGCAATTCGAAGCCGTCACAGATCACAAACCGCTGCTCGGCTTGCTCGCAGCAGACAAGCCAGTTCCCGAATCCTGTTCTCCGAGAGTGCTAAGGTGGGCCTTGCTGTTGTCGGGGTACAGTTACGACCGGAAGTATAGGCCGGGTTCACAAATTGCACATGCCGATGGGTTAAGCCGGCTACCTCTGCCAACTGCCGAATTTGCTGTTGACTGCCCTGCCGAAGTGTTAATGCTGGAAGGAGTATACCCAGGGGTGCTGTCGTCAAATGCTGTTGCGGCAGCCACCTCCAGAGACCCGGTGCTGTCACAAGAGCAGCGTTGTGGTCAGGCTGCCAGATAAACCTAGGGTGAGAGGGAAGACCCTACGAGACACGCTTTCATGAGATGAGCGTGCAAGGGAACTGTCTATTGTGGGGCAACAAAGTCATTGTTCCAAAATCCTTGCAAAAGGAAGTCCTCCAGCTGCTGCATGAGAGTCATCCAGGACTGTCCAAAATGAAGGCAGTTGCGCGTATCCATGTGTGGTGGCCTAGCCTGGATAACAATATAGTGATAACCATTCAAAGGTGGCGTATTTGCCAGGAGGATCAAAAAGTGTCACGACCAGTGCCTGTCATGCCCTGGACGTTCCCGGAGAATTCGTGGTCACAGCTGCATGTGGACTATGCCGGTCCTTACAGGAACACCTATTTTTTTATCGCAGTCGATGCGTTTTCGAAGTGGATTGAAGTGTTCCCGGTCTCTACATCCTCGGCTGAAGCAACTATTTCCTGCATGCGCAGTATGTTCGCAAACCAAGGCCTTCCAGATGTGGTCGTGTCGGATAATGGCCCAGCCTTTATTAGTGATCTTTACTCCACATTCCTCAAAAAAACGGGGTGAGGCGAATGCTGGTGCCGCCGTATCATCCAGCGTCAAACGGTGCTGCAGAGCGGGCCGTGAAGACTGTCAAAAACAAGTTGCAGAAGGCTGGCCCTAGAGATATTCGCACTCAAATTGCCCGCATGCTCCTGACATTCAGGTCAACGCCTCACGAGGTCACGGGTTGCTGTCCGTCGGAGCTGTTGTTGGGGCGGAAGCTGAGGACTGCGTTAGACCTGCTACACCCAGACCTCAGGACCAAAGTGCTACAGAAGCAACTTAGGCAGAAAATCATATGCGACCAAAGAACAAGACCCAGGGTTTTGTGCCACCCGGACGACCAGGTGTTCGCAAGGAACTTCTGTCCAGGACCTGCGTGGCTCCCTGCAGTCGTCACCGAACAACGCACTTCATCCATGGATGTTCTACTCGAAGACGGACGACGGTTGACTCGACATCTGAATCACATCCGCCAGGCCCTTGAAGAACTGAGTGCAGACAACCAAAAATCAGGCAGCCCAGTATCTACCAGTCTTGCTCCAAGCTTGGACGTGGGTCAGACGCAGCTAACTGGTCTTGCTCCAGGCTTGGACGTAGGTCAGAGGCAGCTATCTCTGAATCGTCTTCACGACACAGAGTCTAGGCAAGATCCCAAGGAAGACGTGGCGAGGGAACCGGAACTTGCTGTCACAGCACTCAGTACTCCTGTCCTGCGTCGAAGTACCAGAATTCGACAACCAGTATTGCGCTACGCACCTTAAACAATTGTTTGCAACCATTATTAAAGAGGGGAGGGATGTGATAAGATTGGTTTGCCGTTCCAGCGCCCGGGGGCGTCATTGTTGCAAGGAAATAAATACGGCGCACATGACCAGCCAGTCAGTGTGGAACCCGCCAACGTACGTGTGTGTGATTCGGTCCAGCGACCCGCATGGCTCAGGACTATCCGGTTATCACAACAATATTTCGATATAAGTAATCTTTGCATGCCATCAGTTTAGTGTGATTTTGATATCCTACTTTTTCAATGAATACGTTACCGCTTGTGGGACACCTCACAGATTCTAGTGTATTGCTTGAGATGAATCGAAAAAAAAATCCACTTTTCTTTTTGCTTTCTGTCTGTCCTTTGTATTGACTTCGCCCGCTCCTTAAGGATTTCTGAGCGTAGCATTATTTCACACAGCCTTCAGGAACGAAGGTATTGCAGAATCTGGGCACCTCACGTGCGTCAAAGATACAACCACCTATCACAAAAAGACTATGTCATGGAATTACGTCATTACGCGATGTTATAGTGACGTCCCTATGATACCATGATGCACTACAACCAATTAAATTTTCCAACCAACGTAAATGAATACCAACTGAATCAATCTTCTCAAAAATGACTTGTACAAGTTTTATGCGATTTTGAAACGCATATATGTTCTTGAATACACTGCAGAGATACGTTATATGATATACAGAAAAGTGCAGAAACCAAGAAACAAAAAAAACAGTACATATCACGTTCACCAGACTTAACCTATCCAGCGTGATTACTAGAAGTACCAAAAATATAAACGTCAGTGGGAGGTTTTCACAGAAAACATGATGAACAAACCATCGTCGCTCTGCAGTTGGCCTCATATCACCTGGTTGACAGGTATCAAGGCTACACAATCACGTGTACACTGATGGCTCAGTCACCTAATAGACTGAGACATGAGCATTCATCAATTCGGAGTTACATGAAAAATGTACGTTGGCTTGGTCATCTCTCCTCCTGAATAGCGTCGGAGCTTCTAGTAATTTAGCAGTGAATCAGCTTTGTTAAACTCTCAACGATGTTAAAAAGGCGGGTCGTAATTACCGACTACTTGGCGGCTATTATGTTCGAGAAAATGATACTTCAAGAAAAATATATACGTATAATATACGCCGCTATCAAGAAAGAACATTCAGGAGCTAACAAATTGGATCATTGCGTGGCATTTCAGTGCGTTGCCAGTCAATGCGGAATCCAGGGAATTGAAATGACAGATGAGTTGACTAAAGCCGCTCATCATTATGCACAAACCATCCTCATTGCTGTATCGCAGTGGGACATCAGCAGAATTTTACGAAAAAGAAAAAGTGAAATATGATTGTACACCTGGTTTCTAGACACAGAAAAGCAATCCACCCGGTGAGCTGTTGACCCTCAGTTTGAGTACGAACTAGACCATGAGCTCCCAAAGCGTATCGACATGCTCAAACATCGCCCGCGACTTGGAACTGCTAACGCAAAGCACTTCTTACTTGGAATACAGCGTCCAATATTGTGACCATGTTCACGCAGTCACGAAGACGAGGATGTTTATCATCTATTGCTCTGCTGCCCCAAACATGACCCACATAGAAGGCAACTGGAACAGAAACTCCACATGCCAAAGTCGAAATGAACGTTTCCGTTGGTGAAAATACTAAGCCCATCGTCATCAAGGAAGGAAAGAACATCAAATAAGAAGAATGCAGAGATTTCAACCACTCTAGGAAGACCGGCATGCTACCCTAGTCAAGGGGAAGGGGTGGGGTCATTAAGGATAGGCCGCAAAGTATTGAAGTGCTCGAACGTTTCTTTGAGGACACAAAATTTTGTGATGAGTATTGGGGAGATTATATTGAAAGTGTGTGCCGGGACTGTGCGGGATGGAGGACCGTATATATGTATATATGATTTGTTCCTCAATAGCTTATATTGCAACAGCCAAGTGGAAACAGGTAGCTCTCACCAAGCAATGGTGACACCTCTTTTATTTTTGTATTTCAAAAAAAGTTTTCGACGCTTTCAGCCCTTCTATTGGTGATTCGGCTTAAAAAGGCTAATTTATTAGTTGGAACACTTACTTTTCACAGGCTGTGGATGAGTGATTAAATTGGTAAATAGAACTTCTTTGATGGCATAGTCGAAGTATATTCCTTATCGTCGGGACCATGACACTCTAGCCGCGGTTTGATCTTGCTGTCGTAAATGAAATTTCTGTGGAGTGCTGTGACGTCCAACACGTCCTCTGGAAGCAGAAAAATGGCATACATAGCTATACAATACAATTAGGACAGTTATATTTTTATTTTAGAAGAGAGGCACCATATCTGTTTAGCTCTATAGGGTAGGTCGTTATTGACGTGGTGTTCTAACAGGAGTCCGATGTTTTTGTAAGCACGAGTTTATATAGTAGTTGCGCTGAATGAAAATTTGAATATGTACCAGTCATAACCATAAATTTACGCGAAAAAATATTTCAATACTTAGATAAAACAAGAAAAATATGCATCATTCGTTTATCGTGTTGTGGACATCGTCATGGTACTGACACAATAGTGACTAGCCTTCCTCCACAAGTGCAGGTCAAAGTGCGGTGAAAGAAATCTCACCAGACTCCATGACACGTTAGTTTCTACAACGAAGAGTTGTTTGAGTGACCTGGTGCATGCAAAACTGATAAACACTAGCCTCCTTTTCTTTCAGCCATCAGAATTTTTCAAAATGGGCTAATACTTGAGCATTTAGTCTCGCGCAGCGAGTTTCCCAAACAATATATGAAGGAATCGTCTGTCAGAATTCTCATTTTCTCACTTTACATTTTGCATTTGTCTGTATTTTTTTGAAGAGAGGGTCCTGTTTCTCACTTCACCACTATCTTGTATTATTTATATCTTTCTGTTCTGTATTGTCTGGCAAGGCGAGAACGCAATACCACACGCTAGCCTTAAAGCGGTTTCTGAATTAGGAGGGATTGAGGGATAGCTCATTAAAAATTTAAGGCAGTTTCCCGCCTATTCAGCAAGCGCCCCCACCCAGCGGACATAAATTGAGCGGTTTTCTTCATCTTGATGTTTTTTGTGTGTGTGTTTATGTCTCTCCGATATCCTTCACTAAACATATTATATAACACTATTCCATGCCTTGCCTATTACTTTTGTCATTTTTCTTTCTAATTTGCAAGTCCCGCCTCCTTGCTATACTATGATATAGATGGCTGTGCTATGCTAAGAGCAACTCGGTAAATACTAAGTTGCACTGTGCAAGGTTATGCCCAACTTAACTCTTATTACTCCTTAGTTCCTTGCTCCTCTGCGTCACATCACTTCTCCTCATCCTTCATTTCTTCTCTAATTTCCCATTGAAGGTACTTTGCATGACTGTACTCTTCATGAATCTGTTGTGCACGCCGCCAGATGCTTGGCCCGCACCCGCTTTTTTTTGGTGCATATTCTTGGCTGATTTTTGCATCCCACGCCGACATTTCCCCAACCCCAAGCTGCTTGCCTGTTGACTAAAATTTAGTACGTCTATAGACTTACGTGGGTCTTGATAATAAAATCATGTAATATTGAATGTTCCCGGTTTAAAGGGTATATCTTGTACGGTATAGGACGTGCTTTCCAAGATGTCACTATCTCATAATCAGTGGTGCGCCCGCAGATTGCTTTGGTATGCAAGCTTTGCGCCAGCGTTTAGTCGCATATATTATTTTTACGTCATTGCCGGGTTTAATGTCGCCATCTCTGCTGGTTTCTCTCGCTACTGGCATGTTGTATTACGTACCATCTATTTTTCCAGGCATGCGTTCTTCTATCTATATTAAAATATATAAATATGTGAATTCTATCCTATTGGGTCGACTGTTGGTTTACAGGAGGCATGCGCGTTGTCTGGCTTTGCATGCATTTTCACCGATGTCCTAGGATCTTCTGCTTTTTAGCAGGAAATAATTTTTAACAAGAAAAGTAGTATTTGAATATAAATCACATTCATCGCAATTCACCAGCTTACTGAACAAAAAGATGAAGAAACAGCCTTTTCATACCTTTTATTCGAGGTGACGAGAAACTAAAAGAGCCGGAATTAATGAAAGAGCTGAAAACAGAGAAAAAAAATTAGTAACGGATCAGGCGGAAGATAAAGAAAAGGACACCGTTTTAGCTCAAAAGATAATAGTTAGTATCAATAACAATCATCACAAAACGCAACATTTCTTTCGTAGTTTTAAAGGTCTATTATAGAAATATAGAAAGCGTGAAATAAATAAATGAGGAAGCACGCTGTCTGTTTTCTGTCTCTGTCTGTCCGTCTATTTGTCTGTCTGTATGCATATCCGTATCTCTGTATATCACCCCATCCTTCCTTCCGTCCACCCGCTCATCCATCTAGTAAACACTCTCGGTCTCGCATCTTTCCATCATATAATCATCATATACAAGTACCGCCATTCAGCGGACATTCCAAGAACTAAAGCGAAAGGTGGCTACAGTATACATACAGGAGACGCAAGACCCACGCCTTAAGGAGCTTCGCCCCTAAATATCACAGCATATTCACGGAGTGAATGATCATTAGTGGGGCAAAGCGACATTCCGTCCGCCCACGCACGCGTCTGTCTGTCTGTCTGTCTGTCTGTCTGTCTGTCTGTCTGTCTGTCTGTCTGTCTGTCTGTCTGTCTGTCTGTCTGTCTGTCTGTCTGTCTGTCCGTTCATCCATCCGTCCATCGATGGATGGATGGATGGATGGATGGATGAATGGATGGGTATAGCTGTACCCTTTAGATCGGGCGGTGGCTCGCGCCACCAAGCCGTAATACTTAATGAACCAAAAACTAGATTCATTTTTTTTTCCTTAAATAGTGAGGTTGTGGATTCCTACTTTGCAGTGAAGGGTTTAATTTTCACTCGTGCCTTGACATTGGCCACCAATTAGATAACCTCCTTCTAGTTGATTCAACCCGCTTAAAGTCTATTTTGGCCTCACTGTCCCTAAACCCCAGTGCTTTGAAAAACTCTGCGCCATCATCCTGAACTATAGGGTGAAGCTCTTTACAAAACATTATCAAGTGTTCAGCAGTTTCTTCTTCCTTTCCATACGCACTGCATACCGTGTCTACCCCTTCGTATTTGGCCCTATATGTCTTGGTTCGCAATACTCCCGTCCTTGCTTCAAACAGTAGAGAACTACCCCGAGTATTGTCATAGATCCTTTCCTTGGCAATTCCCTGCTTAAAATTTTAAGTTCGATAGATCTCGTGTGCAGACTTCTTAATCATGCCAATTTTCCACATATCGGTCTCGGCTTCCTTCACCTTTTTTCTTAGCCGATAACTCTTTTTGGTTTGGCCCCCTGCTGTTTTCCAAGTATTTACCAGTCACTTTTCTGGTTCGCTTCCGCCACTTTGTATCGACATTTTTCATGTACAAGTAGCTGTATACCTTCCTAGCCCAACGCTCCTCCCCCATTTCTCTCAATGGCTTCTCAAATTTTATCTTGCTGCTAGCTTCCCTGCCCTCAAACGATGTCTATCCCATATCACTTTGTACTTCCTGATTTGGTGTTCTCCCGTGAGCTCCTAAGACAAGCCTACCTATTCCACGTTACTTAATTTCTAATCATGCTTGAACTTCTGATCTCATGCACAAGACCGCATTGCCGAACGTCAGACCAAAAACCATGACCCCTTTCCATATTCCTCTCACAACATCATACCTATTGTAATTCCACAGTGTCCTGTTTTTCATTACCGCTGCATTCCTGTTACCTTTAGTCGACACGTATATTTCGTGTTCCCTGAGGTACTCGGCCCCATTGCTTATCCATACGCCTAGATATTTGTATTTATCTGTTATCTCTAGCGTGACCTCCTGTATTCTAAGCTCACTACCTTCATTGTCATTAAAAATCATGACTGCTGATATTTCCTTGCTGAATCTGAAATCTAACCTATCTCCCTCATTACCACAGATGTCCACCAATCTCTGCAAATCTTCCTTGTTGTCGGCCATTAGCACTATATCATCTGTGTACATCAATGCTGGCAGTGCCTGTTCAATGAGTTTTCCTTATTTGACGACAAAGACGTTGAAGCCCAGTCCATTTCCCTCTAATTTGGCCTCTAATCCTTGTAGGTACATCATGAATAATAAGGGTGACAGGGGACACCCCTGCCTAAGCCCCAGTTTTACCTCTGCAGGCTTGAATACCTGTTTTTCCCACTTTATAATTACCTTGTTACCTTTATAGATATTCTTTAAAAGTTTAGTGACTGCATCTTCCACGCCTAGTGTGTCCAGTATTCCCTCCAATTCCTCTTGAACCACGCTATCGTACGCTCCCCTGATATCCAAAAATGCTAGCCACATGGGCCTGTGTTCCTTTTCTGCTATTTCGATGTACTGAGGCAGTGAGAACTGATTGTTTTCCAACCTCCTGTGTTTCCGAAACCCATTCTGCAGTTCCTTCAGCACTCCCTCATTTTCTATCCATGCCTGCAGTCTTTCCTTTATAATCTGCATCGCCAGCCTGTAGACCACTGATGTCACTGTTATAGGACGGTAGTTGTTTATGTCAGCTTTGTCCCCCTTTACTTTATAGATCATGCTCATCCTGCTAAGTTTCCATCCATCGGGAACTTCTCCATCAATCATTATTTTGTTTGGTGCCTCTCTCAAAGCCTGCTTAGACTTCGGACCTAATGTCTTCATCAGCATAATTGGAATGCCATCTGGGCCTGTTGATGTACTACTAGGAATCCTTTTCTCAGCTATTTCCCACTCTTGTGAAAATGGAGCCATTGCGCCACTTGATTCATCCTTGTCTATTGTGGTGCATAAAGGACTTATTTGTTGAAATTTTTCTGTCACCCTTGTTCTTATATATTCAATAGCTTCGTACCCTTCTAGCCTAGCACCTTGAGCTGTAGTTATAAACCTCTGCTCTAGGCTCGTCTCATTTCTTAGGAAGTTTAGATAGTTCTAAAATTTCGCAGCTTCCTTTCTATCTTTTTATGTACATCTTCCAGCCACTCAGCTTCCTTTCTTCTAATTTTTTCATTGATCAGAAGGGATGCATCCCTTCTACAGCTTAGAAAGATTTCCCATTTTCTTTCAACATCATCTGTCGGTTCAGCCCGCTGCTTAGCATGTCTCTGTTCCCTAAAGGTTTCCAGACGTTTTGCTATGGCTCTCTTAACTTCCTCATCTTACCAACTTTTGGGTTTGTCCGTCCGTCTGTCACAAGAAAATCCGTCTGTCACAATAGCGCCACCTGCTGAGTGAGTCGTACAACTAGGTGGTTACGAATCGGTCAGAGACGTGTATGGGCAAACACACGGCTTTAGGAGCTTCGCCCCAAAAAATTGCCCAAAACTCTTTGAAAGTATGTAGAGGGTACCACGCTTCATCTAAAAATGATGACGGATGGCATAGCGGATGCCTCCCCGTCAAAGAAAAATTGTGGACCATCTCCTCGAAGGGAACCATAAAGGGATGCAAAACTGCAGTGGGGCTCAAGCCGTTGACCCGGCGGAAACGGGCGTCGACGCAGGTGCTGGAAGAACTGTTTGAAGCAAAATTCGGTGTAACCTTTACTCCTGTAAACGTTTCAATGAAGGCAATCAAACGGGAGCTGGTTTGGGTTTTGTGCAAGTTTAATTGCAGACCCAACCTGCAGTTGAGCGTTGCGGGTGGAGGAGAGGGTGAAGCGAGAGAAAAGTGGGTTGTGAGTGGGTAAAGAAACAACACCACCTGTACTCATTTGACAAGCTGTTGGCAGTGTTGTAGAATGTACGGTCGCTCTCAGCAAATCGTGACTCTGTAGCGCGCAATCGACCGTCCGATCTCTTATTTGTGAGTGCGAAGTGTTAGCCACTGAGCCACGAAGGAGCACCTACTTCGCCTCGAGTCTCAGTAAACTCTCAGTAAACACGTAGAAAAATTTAGCGGGATCGCAAGTAATCCACTATCCAAACAATCAGCTTGTTCTCGCAAAAAATTGTGAAGGAGCTAGAAGTTTCGTATGGCAAACCATGTCAAAATCCTTAGAATAGTCACTATATACATAGCATAAACCTGTATTTGGTCGTTAGGAGAAGCAACAATGCAGTGCATAAATTCAAGCAACGGTGTAGCCCGCACAAAAGCCGTGCTTTGATCAGAAAAATATGTTGTGTGCATTTAGGTGTTCTACGTAGTAATTGTTGTTTATATGCTCCAAAAGCGTGGAGCTTGTATAGAAAGTGTAGATATTGTTCTATAATTTCTTATTTGCTTGTTTTGGGACTTAATCCCCTACGCGGGGGTCCAGTGGCTAAGGTTCTCGGCGGCTGATCCGCAAGTCGCGGTATGTAACCGCGGCTGTGGCGGCTGCATTTTCAATGGAGGCGAAAAATTCTGTAGGCCCGTGCGCTCAGATTTTGGTGCACGTTAAAGGACGCCAGATGGTTAAAATTTCTGGTGCCCTCCACTACGGCGCCTCTCATAATCATATGGTGGTTTTGGAACGTTAAGCCCCACTAATCATGTTTTGGAACTTAAGAGCACGACGTTTGCTAATTTCCACAGTTTGGGAAACTGTTGCAGAGATTTGCTTTTTTTAAATATTACGGTAACATAATCAGCACACCATGCTGAGCCATACTTTAGAAATATATTTGCCATACCGTATGCGCTTGAGTGCTTTGTAAGTTGAAAAATACTATTGGGGTATTTACTTCAGAAAACCTCAATTCAAAATTAGGAAGAGCTGGTTGTTTGCTGAACACGAAAAATGAAGGAATGTTGCCGTTATTGGTATAAAAACAGATTTAAAGTAATTGTTAAGGCATTCGTATACCTTCAGGATTTGAAGAGGATTGTACATCAAGAATTAACGATAAGGACATAGACGATCCAGGACTAATCGACTCCTAGAACCCTAGTTTATTCTTTTCATGGGTGTATGAAGGCATTGCTAAAACGCCGCCTACGTCAAGCTCTTTCAGACAATGAGCTTCAGTCATTTGATTCACTCATTAAACCATCCTTAGAGTATGCTTCTAACATATGGCATTCGCATCAAGGATATCTTTCTGACATTCCTGAGTTAATTCAAAATATAGCTGCTAGGTACATTGATTCCTCATATTCACGTTTTCACAGTATATAAAAAGAACTAGTAAATATTACCCCTCATTACATGCGGAAAATATTCCAGATTATCCTTCTTTTACAGCATCTACTTTATCAACAGTCCTTTTTTAGGAAAATTCATTCATCCTGCTGTAAATCTTTCTGCCCGATGTGACCACGATCACAAGGTGCGTCCACTATTTACTCGCACAGCAAAATACTTCGACTATTTTTTGTTTTACAAATAAACAAATACAACGCCCTTCTGCACATAATTTCAAACATTAAAGAATTGTCTGGTTTCCAGTAAGCCCTACTATCTTACCTAAGTGAACAGTGCTGCCATACTAGCTTAATCGTTGGATTGCAAGTTTGAACTTATGCTGTATATTTTGTGATCGATTGTACTCTGTCATACGTTCATTGATCGTTTATTTTACTCCATTGAACGTTGTATAACTGAACTTTGTTACGTTTTTTTGTGTTTGCCATAAGTTTCCTAGTTATTGCATTTTTTTCATTTTTCATGTTTGTTTCCTATTTTATTTGTTTTTATTCATTTGTTGTTCTACATATTGTATCACCCTATGTTTAATTAGGTGTTACTAATGATATCGGTTACGTAATTTATTTAAACAATAAACAAAAGCGATCCAAGACTGAGCCTCCCTGCAAGCTCCCCTAAATAGATCTGCAGGACAGATGACCTCGCATGGTTGAACGTAAAAAAAAGTTTGAGCGTGAATGCAAGCAATTCGCTACCCAATCAACCAGCTTAATGTCATCCTCGGACCCGTAAGGCCCGAGAACAAACCCTAAGGGCCCGTTTACTTAAGGGCCCGAGACTTGCACAGTCCATGCACTCGACGCGAAGCCCTTCAAGAACCTTGAAAGCCATCTGTTTCGCCAGCTTTGGAAAATCGCGCACATCAAAAGAAGGGCTCACTGGTCGCACAGCGTGGGAGGCATCTTGCACAGGTACAACCAACTCGTGTGGCATCATGTCTCCTAATAATGGAGCATCACTAACTCACAGCAATGCTCCACAGGGATGCGTCCACGCGGTCTTTCTCTTTTATTTCACTAATTACTCAAACACTCTACACAATTTAAAAAGTCAATCTTAACATTCTTTTCACTTTCTGTGGGTGTAGTTTGCGAAATAGAACAGGATCGCTAAAATATTTCCGGGACTGTTTCTGTATCTCTACATCCCTGATTGAACAAGATAGCTCTACCTTTGGCTGCACTGCCAACCGCTTGTGAAACGCAGTATAGACATGTTGAGAGGACTCGGCAGCTGCTGCGGGTGAGGGAGAAAGTGACGTCAACGCGCAGCTGCGACTTTACCTACTTAGTATTTTTACAACTGTGGTGGAGAGAACTCTATGCGGCGTGTTGGCACGGAGACACGGGTGGACAGCATTACGCAGGCTAGTCAAGAAGCTGCTTCGAATCTAAAATTAGGATGATTTATTGTGTGGTATAGGTACCCTGCAAGTGTGCTGTAGCAATGTTTTGTTTTGCACGAATTGGCTGAGATGAGCAGGAACTGTTCCAAAAATGTCCTTCTACGTTCTAGCCTGTGGAAACAATTAGCAACACATCTATCCTGATATTACGTTTGGAGCACTGCTACTACACATCGAATCGCTCACCTTGATGAAGTAACTCCATACCGGGTGGACGCTGAGTAATCACTGCGCTGTTCCTGGTATGCCACAAAAGTAACCGTCTGTGCTGAATTATTCCAAACCGATATGCGCAAATCGTGGAGTGCGCTTTTGCACACGGATGATTCCTGAAAAGGACGAACGAATATGGGGAGACATTGTTACTTTGAAGGATTGTTTGCGGGTCGAGGGTGAGTTGCTACCACATAGTAAAAAGAGGTGCTAACAACGAGGACACAGCAGGCAAAGGCGACAACAGAAGAGCTCGCTAGCAGTTAAAGTTTGTTGAATAACCACACATAAAGAAAGACAGCCTAGGTGACCACTTGTGAACAATTGGCGGATCCGACGTACAGTCAGATATGCCGTACAGAAAAAAGAGATCCGACGTATGCAAAAAAAGGGGAAAGATCCGAACAGAAAAAAGAGATCCGACGAGAAAAAATGAAATCAGACGTACAGAAAAGATTGGCAGATCCGACATACAGTGGGAATCGATTATATGCGAAGAATGAATGAGAAATGTTGATATGTCACTTTAAGATCCGCACAACGTTACGAGGTGGAGGTAAATGATGCCGTACACGACTTTTGTGTCATGATTATCATGTTTGGATGTGTCGTTTACCTTCATTATCTATTCACGTCACGTGATACCAAATTTAGTATATGCGTAGCTATCGAAACAGCCACGAGCATGCCATGAGCGTGGTATGTTGTCGTGTTCTTACGTGACAAGCGTGGGAGGAATATCATGTTTGCACTAGTCACATATTTTGTCATTCGTTGACGTCACATAACACCGAATTTGGTATATGTGAAGCTAGAAAAACTGGTCTGAGACCCATTTTCGCGCCGTTTGCTATTTGCCGGAAAATGATGTAGCCAAATTCGACGGAAGAGTGACATGGCTAAGCGGCGTCATCTGCTTTCGCCTCTCCGCATCGTCTGCATCTGCCGCGGGACAGTTTGAGCTGCTTGCTTCTTCCTCTGCGGTTTTCACGCTTTGCCGTAGGGGTCGTTCCCAGCGAACATTCCAGCAGTGAATAGAGAGTTTCAGCCTGCGCGGTATATATATATAGTTTAAAAACGCACAGCAATTAAATATGACGTCACCTAAAGCAGGCTCTTAAACAAGTGGCGCCACGTATCCAGCCTTAAGCATAACTTACAACCGTGTAATGTATGCTTTCTGAGATTTGGTAAGGCTTGCTTAAGCATACATCAATTATTCGAGTATGGCTCTCAAAAACGATGACGAATAGATTCGAGTGTGTTGTTGAAGCTAAGGGACATGAGTCTAAAGCGAATGGAAGCATCAGTTCGGAGCTTACGAGCTACAGAGAGCACAGCGACCGCTTTATAGATTCCAGGTGGTCGACAACTGCATTCGGAAGGGCAGCCAAGTTTGTCGGAGGAGCTTTCCATGCAATTCGGGCAGGTCTCCTGTGGGCGGCGCCAGTCTACGGCACTGCGCCGTTACGGCAGGCTTACCGCTAGCGTGAGTTGGATGGTTTACATGCTCTCTGTAGCTCGCAAGCTCCAAAGTGATGCTTCCATTTGATTTAGACTCATGTTCGTTAGCTTCGACAACACAGTTCTCGAATCGATAACGGCGCTGTTTTTGAGAACCATGCTGTAATAATTCATGCTCTAGGCTTAAGCAAGCCTTCCCGAATCATGGAGGGTATACAATACACGTTTGTTTGTTGTTGCTAACACTGAATAGCTGGCGCCACTTGTCCAAACACCTGCTTTGGGGACGTCGTTTTCAATTGCTGTGTGCTTTTTTTTAAATACCGGAAAGGCCAAAATGCTCTATTCACTGCTGGAACGTAGTTTGGGCACAACACGTACGACAATCGTGAAAACTGCAGAGGAAGAAGCAAGCAGCTCGAAGTGTCCCGCGGCAGACGCAGACAATGCGGAGAGGTGAAAGCAGACGACGCTGCTCAGCCATGTCGCTCCTCCATCGCTGATTGGCTAAACCACTCTCCGGCAAACGGCACAAAACTTGTGCATCGACAAATTTTTAGAATGGCGAAGAACGGCAGACGTGCGCGAAGCAAACAGCCGTTCATCATTGTGGACAAATGTAGTCGAAATAGAGATGGAACGGGCCGGAGATTGTTTTCGTCAAAAGCGTGCGTGCGATTACATCACCCCATGTGCGAAGACCCCAGTCATTGGCTCCTCAATACAGAGCAACTTCCTCGGCCGGCTCTCGCCCGGTAGAGGAGCTTCAGAGGGGAGGTTGGGGCAGACGCTCACTCTAGTAGAAGCTGCGAACCGTTTTCGTAAGGGTGCGATCACGAGTACTGGTGCACGAGCTTTCTCGACAAGTGTATTCAAGATCGACATCAAATAAAACTGGTTAGGGTCACTGGAGCAATCACATTCCCTTAAACCAGCGTTTTGTTGAGTGACGCGAGATTGGATCCAAAAAAAAAGAAGCTGGCTACCATCCTTAAAATACTCGAAAATTTTGTTGCTACGCGGTACTTGGTTCACCCTTTGTGGGAATACTGCGATTTTTTTAGTAACTTTTGGAGAATTCAAAACATGCCCTTGTCCATGAAAGGGACAAAAAACAACGATTGTTCATAAAAAGAGTCACATTGTTGCTGAAAAACAACTTTTTGACTGATAGTACAAGGAACTGGTGGAACGCGCAACAATTATCGTATAAGAGCTGCATAGTTCTACACAGTGGCTCACCATGTCGATGCTATACACACCATTCTGCCCTTGTATGGGTGATAAGAAAGCAGATAGGGTTTTAGGGGATCAAGTTGGTTCATGTGCTACATTGTCGCCCAACAGCGCCAATATTGGGACGAGGAAAACACAGGCCCCACTGCGGTGGTGTAGTGGCTAAGGTATTCGGCTGCTGACTCGCAAGTCGCGGGATCGAATTCGGGTTACGGCGGCTGCATTTCCGATGGAGGCAGAAATGTTTTTGGCCCGTGTGCTCAGATTTAGGTACCTGTTAAAGAATCCGAGGTGGTCGAAATTTCCGGATCCCTCACTACGGTGTCTCTCATAATAATATGGTGGTTTTGGAACGTCAAATCACACATATCAATCAATCGAAACACAGGACAGAGGGCTAACTATCAACTGATTCCTTCACTACAAAGGCAGAGAAATATGGAGGACGATGAACAAATATAGAAAAATAGGCCAAACGCCATCAAGTGACTCGGCCGGCTGGCATTTTTATCAATTCTGAAAAGCGTTAACAGGACGTGGCAAGTGCACATTGCTGGCACACGTACACACGAGCAACAAAATATAAAAAAAACAATGACGAGGCGGTCTATACGAAACAAAAGCAGGCGTGTAACAGAAGAGACTGCTAAGTGAATGATAACAAAGCTACAAACTGTTTCAACAAATTTATTTTCTCCCTTTGCAGTAAGAAAATCAGTTCATAATTAGCGTTGCGTCCGCTATATATTTCGTCCCGCTGTGTCCGCTGTTTCTACGATGCAAATAGATTGACAGAGAACAATAACACATGAATTTGCTAATCATGCGTTATTCATAGAGCCAATTCTAATAAGTGTACACATAAATTAACAACGAATTAGCAGTTGGGAATATACGGCGGAGATAAATTGCGAACTAATATGTAAAAGAAGTTCCTATGAGAAGAATATTTTTTATACCCACGAGCCTTTCTATAAAAATAAAAGCTAAATCACTAGACTCGTATTTCTTTGCAGTGATACCAGCTTATAGAATAACTTACGTACCATGGCGTAGAGGCACAGTTCCATAAACATGTGCATCCTTTCGTGCAAGACACGATGACTTGCAGTGTACACTGTAATAAAAAATCGAAACATCATTTTCGGTTATATCGTCAATTGTCAGGCGTTGCATGGCGAAGGATTGATGAACCAAAGTAAATATATCTGGACCAAGAAAGGTTGATATTCATGGACGAAAGAAGACGCCATAAATATGCAGCGCTGAAGCACGGGCTCTCAAGGAAGCGATAATAATTGATGTAGTTTACTTTATTCTTACCACTCCATTATTAATCAAAACAACATAAGTCTAAAGGCAGAATAGACGACTCCAACGTGGTCCTACCTCCACCACACTTTGCAATGAGCTGTCAGCTCCTCATCCAGGCTTTAGAACGACCAAAATGCGGAGGATTTCCCAAATATTCAATCTTAGTGGGGAGCCAGCGTTCTCGGCTCTACGTTAGCATGACGATAGTTAAAGCGCGAGAACAAAACGATGACACAGAGACAAGAAGGACACGAAATACATTATCGCGCTATAACTATCGTCATGCCATACTAACTGGCTCAAGCTGCCACACTTCTACGTTGGCGTTTCATAGTGGCGTCTCGAGCACACATTTATGAATGTTCTTCAGAGGTGCCCAGCCAGCGAACGGTCGAAAGTGAGGTGTGAGTGGACGGTAGAGGGAGGCGAAGGGAGGAAAGGAAAAGAGAGTGAACAGTGAGAGAAGGAGAGGCGAACCACCGAACCTATCCTCTGCTACACTTTCTCGCAGCACATGCTCTGGTCGCAAGGGCGAGGATTAGCGTGCACACCCGCAACTGGCGTTACGGGAAAGGAAATGGTGCCCTGCGCACAGGGCACCATTTACAAGTTACTCGTTCGCGCAGCCACACTACGACTTCTTCTTAATCTTTCTTTTGTCGATCATCAGCTGACTGGAATGGCCTGCCCCCGATATCGTCGAAACTATCTGCTTATTCGCATTATCCGAAAAAATAAAACTTGGTATGTCTCAATAAGTGTATTGTAGCCACTATACTGTACGTGCATTGTAGTCACTATCTTGTAAATGTATGTAACCACTGTTTTGTATGTAGCCACTATTATGTTAACCCCACCCCTTATGTAATACCTCGCTGCGAGGTCTTTAAGGAAAATAAAGTGAAGAAGTGAAGGAAGTGACAGCGAAGAGACAACACCTGCCGGTGCGCGGACGCCGCCGTGGAATACGCTGAATGCATGACATAGCCCGACTAAGAAATGCATTCGCATATAAAAGTACACGTCACGATCAACCCGCAAAAAGCACAAAAAACACAAGAAAGTGTGACACAAGCGCTCGACTGGTGCACTTTCCTGTGTTTTTTTTCCTTTTTGTGTGTTGATCTTGATGAGTATGTTCCAATAAACCCAATTTGCTATTTTTAAACAAATAAACTTTGAAATACGTGACATCACAGATGCAGAGTTCGGCGCGAATTACACAAATGAAACTTTCACCTTCATTTCCTTTGTTATTATTAAACTTATGATGGTAAAATTAACGCCATTAGTGTTTTCAAACAGCAATTCTTGTGTCTTATGAATTCAATGTTTTTTCAGGGCCCATTCTGCCATCATTTTCAGCAAAGAAAAAATATTTAGCAGCGGGAATTTGTGCTTGTGTCTTCTCGAAAAGCAAAAACCAATTTTTGTGGCGTAGCGGGCACTGCTAACGTGCTACTTTGAGTAGGCATTCTAGGAAACTTTGAAACTGTCTATATTACTTGCACAAGCATTTTTTATTTGTTATATGAAGGGTTCAGGTGCCGACCAACAAACTAAGTGAGGCTGGTTATCGCAGAGGCGATTTACCCAGCGCCCAATTACGCTGTCGCATTCTCATTTGCAAGACATCGCTCCAGCACTCCTAAAGTTCTTTAATGGGTCATTCGCACGCTTGCAAGAAGGTCGCTGGTAAGTGTACGCCAGGCATAAAACTTTTAAGTTGAATACAAGGCTTTAATTCATAAGATGGCTGAAATGGTAAAATTAGGTCACATCTCCTAATGGGAATGCCGTGTATCAAAAGGTTGTACTTACGTGCAGTTTTGTCCGTAGAAGCAAGTGCGCCCTTTTATTAAGTCGTCAGCCGTTGTCAAGCAGTCTATACTGGTGCATCCTGCACCTGCGAACGCACGTGAAAACAACAACAACCCTGTGTTGACTGCTGCGATGCCTGACGAAAGGGGAGGGGGAAAGTGGGGAGGGGCTAGAAGCGATAGCGACGAAAACTTCGTGTACCAGTTTCAGAATCAAGTTCGAAGTTGTAAGGGCCATTCTGAAGAACCGCTGTATACGCGGGGTGTCTACGTCATGTGCCCTGTATGTACAACTTGACAGGAATGAACCACACAAAAAAGTGCCTACTCTTCATGAACCCAGCAACGCTATGCACGCGCATCGTTCTGACCAATTCAGCTCCAACATCAGGCAGTTTACGTACTCAATCATACAGTGATTAGGTGACCATGATCAGTACTTCGATATTTCGTGCATATTAAATGCGAAGCATTTATTAGCAAACTTCGGCGACTTTGAACGTATCTATCTATCTATCTATCTATCTATCTATCTATCTATCTATCTATCTATCTATCTATCTATCTATCTATCTATCTATCTATCTATCTATTTGTCCACTTACGTTTCGGTACTTCCGTGGGCACCCCCTTAACTTTGCGTGAACCAAAATCAGGATGAGAGGGTGAGATGTTTTGACGAACATGACGCGCTAGTCAAGACAACAATCATGTGACAATACTTTTTTGCAGACTAGTTGGTTCATACTTGAAAAATTGAATTGCTGCACAAACTTGAAGAAAAAAAGAAGGAAGACAGGAGAGAGGCTGCGCTCTTTTCTGTCTCCCTTCTTTTTTTCTTCAAGTTTGTGCAGCAATTCAATTTTTCAATTATGTGACAGTGCCGTCGCGGACGTCGTCAAACACCACCCGCACGACAGTGGCACATGCTCACGGGTGGGTACGTGTCACTGCTATGCGGGTATGTGCCACAGGTGATTGACACTTAGTATCTACCCAGGAACGACGAGAACTCACTTGGGCAATTCTAACGCGAGAGCGTTAAGAAATACTCCACATCGGTAGCGTCGACCCAACGAATGCAAAGAATAAATGTCAGGGTCCCAGCTGGAATCGAACCCAAGTATTCTGCGTGGCAGTGAAGCATCTTACCACAGAGCTACGCCATGTCTCAAAACTTCTTTTCAAACAGACGCTAATCTTCGTGAAACATCAATAGTGGTTGCAGTGCTGCCTACACAGTTTTATAAACACCACATATGTACTCTTTTGATACAGTCGTCACATCGGGTCAACGTCAAATGTGGTTAGTTTGCATGCGCTCAAGTTGTCCTATGTACCAGTGTCCAGGCCCAACATCCTCACGAGCACCAGCACTTCATTTCAGCTTGTGGTGTTGTTAATACGCATGTTCCATTTAAAATCGTAGTGCAAGTGCAAACAACGGTTTGTATAAACATCAAAAACTCAACATATGTCTCTGCGCGCAAAATTTGTACATATATTTAGCGTCATTTTATGAAGTGTCGCGCAATAAAAAATTGCAACACGGTCACCTTCCCTCCGCATGCTTCGCATAACATCGATACCGAGGTACGTGGGATCTGCCGAAGTTTTTATTGATTTGTTCTTTTAAGAATAAGTCACTGTTTCGCCGCAAGGGCAAAGCAGTGAAGGCTATAGCAAAAAACAAGGTATGTAACGCTGAGAACGGCAAGCAGATGAACACGTGCAGCAGGCTGCTCACGCACAAATGTTGCGTGAGTGATAGCAACTGAGAAAAGACGATCGTTAACGAACAACGCTTACAGCTCGACACTTACTGCGCTGTTTAAACAAAACAACGCACGAAACGTACGCAGAGGTACAGGCAGTGCAAAGTAAGTCCCAGTGGTTACTTCGTTGTGTCTGAAAAGTGCACTCTTTTCGCAAATGAGGAGAGATTGAAGTGACTTTTGTGTACCTGACAGCTAGAACGCAATTATTCCGGTGAAAGCGGAAGCCGCGTGATTCTCCGCCATTGCAGGATAACCACGCGTGCACGAGCGTGCACCCCCCTCCCTTCGGTGGCGCAAAGTACGTGTGGGAGATTAGCGCACATAAGCGCATAGCGACGAGCTAGACACCGAGCGCGCTCATTGCACCATCTCGCTGGCATGCAGTACTAAAAACAGCTGAGATTTTTTCCGAGATGCATCCCATGAGGTGATTTGTAGGCGACCCTATCAGTATCGAACGCATTCGGATAGCCGTACACAGGTCGTTATCCTGTGACCTCATCTTCCTTATCAACCTGTGTACTCTCTTGAGTGAAAGACTGATAGATATGAACCTTGAACATTAACAAACAAAAAGCGTTTAGCAATGACAAATAATTCGAACGCGCTGTAACATCTGTTTACAGTCGAGACCTATTTCTTCTCTTTGATTTGTGTTTAAATATGCCCGAATAATAATTAACTAGGTGACAAATTACGTGTACATCACGGTTTTCTTTCTCGTAAGAAAGAAAAAATAGGTGCCTATCGCAATGATTATGGTGATTGTCTTCGAGCCACGAGTGCGCGGGTTCAGATGCCAACTTTCCGACGAAACTTGTTTTGTTTTATTTATTTCATTGTTTTCCAAATGTCCATGTGCGTGACACCTTCTACTGGGTGACGTGCGTGGGGCCTACTGCTATCTTCCGGTTCCATTCCTGTCCCAATGACGAAAGGAGGGTAGCCGCACTTGACTAGACTTTACTTTGACTAGGGCCTGAAGAATTCGTAAAAATAATGGTCTATCGATTTGAGAGGCAACGCGCTTTGATATTGGGCTTCATCGATGATCTTTTGCAAGTTTTGCGAGGCTCCTGTAACTGACTTGTCATCCGTGGGATTTTGCGATGTGTGCAACACTTTGTTTTGTGCGCCTCAATGATAGTGCGTAAGTGCATCCCTCATAGTGCCATCTTTTAATTTATTATAAGGGAAACGCCAATCATAGTAATTTGTCATAATATATACACAACTAGATACATGCGGTTTCCACAATAAATGCAATCGACTGAACTTCGCCCTCTTCTTCACATACACTTTAACAGGATCTTAGATTTAAAAAACTCACTCTGTTTATTCTGAAGAGACACAGAAATACACACTGCGAGAAAAACAGATTTTTGCCGGCGCCAACACAATATGGGTGGCGTGCGATGGCGAACGAGATTGAAAGATGTCAGAATAGAAGGTACGATAGTATGGTAAAAAAAGAGTATAAATGCATATGAAATGTGCAAATGAACCTGATAAAAGTATTCGCAGCTGAAGATTTCCGGTAAGTAACATTGCTTTGTCAGCCTCATGTTTAGTTGACATAGCAGGTTATCGAATACTCACCGTATTTACAACACCACACTTAGACTGAAGTTGGCAGGCGGAAGGCCCAGACAATTGATTGATTTGTGGGTTTTAACGTCCCAAAACCACCATATGATCATGAGAGACGCAGTAGTGGAGGGCTCCGGAAATTTCGACCACCTGGGGTTCTTTAACGTGCACCCAAATCTGAGCACACGGGCCTACTACATTTCCGCCTCCATCGAAAATGCAGCCGCCGCAGCCGAGATTTGAACCCGCGACCTGCGGGTCAGCAGCCGAGTACCTTAGCCACTAGACCACCGCGGCGGGGCAGGCCCAGACAAATGACAGGTGAAATGTGGCTGTACTTCTTAATATTGGCAGCGGCAATTTTCATTCAATATCATTAGACGCTGATGTGTTGCCTATGCAAGCTGGGCCGCTATACACAGTGAATAATTGATTGATTGATGAACGGACGGACGGACGGACGGACGGATGAATGGATGGATGGATGGATGGATGGATGGATGGATGGATGGATGGATGGATGGATGGATGGATGGATGGATGGATGGATGCATGGATAGACGGACAGACGGACGGGCGGGCGGGCGGGCGAGCGGGTGGGCGGATGGATGGGCGGATGGATGGGCGGACTCACTGACGGTAGCACGGACGGACGGCCGAACTGACGGATGCTTCATCATTCACTTCGTATATATGGTGTGATTTTTTGGGGGGGGAGGCGAAGTTTCTTAAGGTTTAGGTATGTCCTTTGGCGTGCGCCGCAGGCATGATGACAATGGGTATAATAAATAACGACTGCTTTCTGAAGTATATGACGTCTCGATATGTTCTACTATGCATTTAGCATGACTAGAAACAACCCACAATCCCCTGATGAACGTGCCCAGACCTTATCTTTGCCAACTTCAGGCTATGGACTTGGTACAACACAGCAGTAATAACGACGAAAACGAAATTTCCCACTGAACACAACATGCCACTTGTGACCAAGAAACCTTGTATATATAACTGTACACCGCCTTGTCACTCATTTACATGCATGGCGGGTCAATGTCATGGGTGATTTACGGTAACACCAAACAATCCCAATCATTCACCCATCTCATCATCATTCACTGTGTGGATATGTTGTTTATTTTTTTCCTTTTTCTCATGGGTAATAATTACAGACCGGATAATAGGCAAATGCCTATTTTGTTCCTTGCGTTCCTGTCGTGCCATTTTGATATATATATATAAGCATGAATTGGAGGTTAAGAAGGGCTTTTATGGTGTTTTGATAGTGCCTATAAATGCCTATTTTGGGTGTTCGTGCCTAAATGCATATAAGTGCCTATAAATGCCTATTTTCCAAATGAGCACGTATATAAGTGCTATTCAAGGCAAAATTTTGTTTTCAAGCGTGGTGTAAAACTGTTATTCATGTAAACAAGGCAGCATTGATATTTACTAACACTATAAGGTTCAACGTAGACAAAGCTGACATACTGCGAGCGATTGGAGGAGGAGCATGAAAAGTGCAAAACACGCTATTTCTGCAGCCCTAAGTGGAAGAATTTCTCAGCGTCTGTAGGGGAAAAAGGACCGAGAATTAAAGATGGGGTAAGAAAATAAAAGTGACGTCTATGGCCGAGGACGTGGCGACCACCTTCTAGAAATAGCTGTCCAGTGACCTGAATGAACTGAAGAACCGCCCTGAAAACCTGGGTGTTGCAGTG